TCGTCGCCATCGCCCGAGTAAAAGTTCGAGGCGGCCCCGTGCAGGGGCTGGTCAGACTGCCACTTCTCCAGGCTGAAGAGGGTGTCCACGGCGTCCTCGTGGCTTATCTCGAGATACCCAGCCCGGCGCTCATACTTCTCAAAGAACTCGCTGCAGTCAAGCAGGCTCTTGTACATGCTCTGGAGGTGCAGGGCCGCGTCAGCAGCAGCATGATATTGGTTGAGCAGGGCTTGGCATCCAACCATTACCTTCAAGTTGGTTTTGAACTTCGTTTTGCCATCCGTCGGCAGAGTGCCTGACACGTAGAGCCTGAAAAACATCGTCACGTCCCTCTTGGCGATCTGCTGGACCCACTCTGGCTTGACGAGCGCCTCTGGATTCATCAGCGTGTCCCGCTGCTGGAGCATGGCGTTCACATCCCTGACGTCGTCGGCCGTGAGAGCCTCGATGGGTATCTCCAGCTTCAGCTTCATGTCCGACGTGTTCTTGGCCCTGTCCTTCAACACCGTGACGGACGCCTTGATCTCCTTAAACATCTCCCTGCCCATGGGGTAGGCGCTGACTGCATCAGACAACTTCGTGGTGGGCCAGGCTTCCAGCGCTTTCTCCAGCACCTGCGGGTCGTCGCCGCCGCGGTCCAACAGCGTCTTCATCTGGCGCAGCTCATCGAACGCCGCCCTCATGCCCTCCTCCAGGCCAAGCTTAGCGCTAACACCCCCACTGCCTAGTGCCCCCCACCACCGCCAAACGAACGACGACTCCCGTCGCCGCATCGCGCCGCCGAGGACACTCCCGGCAGCGCGATGCAAGGAGGGCGAACCGACAAGGGGTCACGTTGCAGGTTGGGCCCCCCAGTCCGCAGGAAGGCCCTGGCTGACGAACCTGTCGTAGAACACAGTGACCATGCTGTTCAAATCTCGCTTGGTGGCCTCGATGCTGGCGCCACCCTGGCAGATCATCATCGTCTTGTCGACGACCACGCCCATGACAAAAGCGCCGATCTGGTCCGACTGCACGAACTCCTGCAAGGTGGCCGGACGCAGCTTGGTCCAGAAGCTCTCGGCTGGCCAGGCGTCCGCGCTGCACTGCTGGTGCAACACGCGCATGAGGAACGGCGGGAATGGCGATGGGGCGGCGGGCTCCTGCGGGCGAGAGGCCGCAGGTTCACGTGGGGGCCCCCCTTTTGCCTCCTTCCTCCTTCCCTACTCCTCCTCCTCCTTCTCCTCTTCATCGTCCTCCCCCTCGTCCTCCTCGTCCTCCTCTTCCTCCTCCTCCTCCTCCTCCTCCTCCTCCTACCCCCGCCCCCCCCCCTCTTCACCCCTCCCCCCTATCTCCCCCCTCCCCAAGATTTCTGAGGAGCCCAGGCGGGCATTCCGAAAAACATTGCGCCGACCCTTCGAACCCCAACTCGAATCCGATTTCAAGAACAGAAGCTGGGACTCGAACGTCTCCAGAGTGGCCTTGCTGGACATCCCCTTGGCGGCGATGGAGTTGAGCACTTCCCTTGATGCCTGCGTTTGTTTCTCGAGGATCTGCAGCTGCACCAGCGCTTCAAGATCCGATTCATTCTCAATGAGGTCGCTCAAGTCCTTCAGGTAGTTTTTCCAATTGCGCTCGACGTTCTTCCACTCCTCCTGGAAGTATTTGGAGGTCCTCTCCGAGCCTTTGAGGTTGGCCATGGCGGCCGTCAGCAGCCCCGTGGCATCGCGCGGAGGCCTGCCCGCCTTCTTCGCGCTCGTCGCGCCGCCAGCCTTGTTGGCTCTGGCCGCTGCCTCGGCCCCCGTGCCCTTGGCGGCATTGGCCTTGGCCGAAGCACTCTTCCTCCCCTTCTTCTTTGGCGGCTCGTCAGCGGCAGCTGCTGCATCAGCAGCTGGCGGAGGAACAGCTGCGGCAGCTGCGGCTGCTGGGGCAGCAGCTCCGGACGGCGAAGCGCCGCTGGCGGCGGCCGCCGCGCCGCTGGGGGCGCCGCCGCCTCCCTGCACGGGCGCTCCCGGGGAGTCGGCGGGGCCCTGCGGCCTGGGAGGGGTAGCCAGCTGCGGAGGCACCGACCCCGAGGGCTGCCCGCTGCCGAACCCCGAAGCGCCCAGGGAGGCGCACACCTGGTCGAACCTCGTGCCCACCGCCTGCTGGGTTGTAACGCCCGTGCCGTCGTCGATAGTCCTGGGAGGGAAATGCCGAGAGGGGCTCCAACCTAGTCATGCTACATTGCCGTGTCGTCGTCGCCGCCGCCACCGCCGCCGTCGTCGTCGTCGTCGTCGTCGTCGTCGTCGTCTTCGTCGTCGTCGTCGTCGTCACGGGGGGCTTGGGATGGGCGACGTCTTGCACTTATTGTCCCAGTATGGTCCGCTTCTGCTCTGCTCTGTAAATCACCGACACTTCCTTCCTCCACACCCCATCATTTCCCATGTTCACTAAGGTGACCCCGCCGGGGCCCGCCTCCTTCTTGTGGCCGAGCCCGTTTACATCAGGATCCCCCTTCTGCGAGATGTAAACATCGAGCTGCATGAACGTGTCTGTCGGTTTGATCCATTTGACCTGCTGTATGTCGTACTGGTGGATGGACGCGGGGGTGGGCCAAGTGGTGATGTAGATGCTGTCCCGATCTGCCACGTCCTTCAGAACCTCCAGCAAGTGCTGAATCAACCATGCGAGCAACCTCTTGAACGTCTCGTGGAGCTCATGCTTGGCACCGAGCTGCTTCTTGAAATCCCCCAGCTTGATGTTCGAGAAGTGGACGTTCCAGACCCTGGGGGGTTGAACCTGCGCCCTCCGACCAACTGACTGTGCCCACCCCTAAGCAACCTAATGGAGGATAGATTTCTCGGAAGGGGGGTCCAGAAGTAGGGGGGGGGCACCAAATGCCAGAAAGCTTCGGGTCCAACCAACCTGAAGCAGTACCAGCAGGTCGCTCCCTCCGTCTCCAAGGAAACGGTGAGGGTGGCCACGACGTTGCCCTGCTCGTCCGTGAGCTGGATCCTCTTGTACCCCCCCCACAAGCGGTTCACCTTGGGGTCCACTGGGTCCTGGTCATGATCGTAATGGCCGCACGTCGTGCATTGCCTGCCGCACGTCTTGGCCTCGGTCTTCTGCTTGTACGTGTACTTGACCCTCCCCTTTGCCGGCGCCTGGTCCGAGGCGCCGTCGCCAGCCTGGGGAGGTGGGGAGGGAGAGAGAAGGCCAGTGAGGACAGTGCCGAGAGCGTGCAGGTGAATCACGAACACGCCTCGAAAAGGAAAAGGGACGAGAGAGAGACCCTCATCCAACAAGGGGCACTCTCCGCGCCGTGCGCGGGGCCGGGGAGCAACGGTGCGAGGGTCACTAACGGCGCAACGCCGGGCAGTCCCCACTCGCACCGCGCCCCCCGTTGGGAAGACAAACCCACGCCTGTACTTCCGCCCACTATGCAGGTGCCTCGGGCTCGGGCGCCTGCTGCGGCATCGCAGGCTCCCCGAGCTCCGAGAAGACGAGCGGCTCGAGGGGCTCGCCCGTCTTGGGATGCAGGCCCCTTCGAGCCTGCTCGAGCATCGACGCGATAGCTCCGCCCCCCCCACTCCCAGCTCCCGCCGACCCCGTCCCAGCCCTCTTGCACGCACGAGACAGGCCGACCGACAGCCGATTGGGGCTAGGCGTGCGACCCTCGGATAGCGATCGTGCTCCTCCTCCACCTCCTCCAGCCGCCCCCCTTCCTCCTGCCCCTCCGCCTCCCCTCTCTCTCTCTCTCTCTCTCTCTCTCTCTCTCTCTCTCTCTCTCTCTCTCTCTCTCTCTCTCTCTCTCTCTTCCTCTTTAGTCCCGGCAAACGCTCTTGCCAACTAGTGGTTCTGAGCATTGAGACCAGCCTAGTGATCAACAACGTTTGTTCGGGCTTGGGGCGAGATGTCGGGCACGGGGCCAGATGGGGTTGAGATCAGCGCATGCGCCCTCTCGCTCCTACGCAGACCCTGAAGCGGCCCCTTGGAATGCTTTCCGTCCCCCCCAATCCCCCGAGCCTGGCTGCTAGCTTTCGTCTTCTTCGGGCGACGCTGGCCGACGGCTGCCGGCGGGGGGGGTGGCACCGCCGAGGCGACGACCTCCGTGGAGTCCAAACCCCAGTCGGCCATCGGCGCGGGAAGTGCGATAAACGCGGGGCCCATGCGCCGAGATCCCTGCGACGACGGAGGGGGGGCCAACCATGGGGGGGGCGCCGAGAGGCCAACTGCGAAGCAAGTTCACTCGGCGATAAACGATGGACACGCCCCTCCCCCTCGAGACGGGCAAACGCTCGCCACATGGGCCCCCCGCGTGCGGTTGAGATCTGGGAGACTGGCGGCCCTGGGCGGCCGCGCGCGCTTGAGGCTCGCGGCGTCGGACCGTCTGCCTCGCTCGATCTCCCGAGACGCCCTCGACCCAAGCCGCGGGCCGAAACTCACCCCCCCCCCCCCTGGAGGACGTCATCGCGGGCGACGCGACTACCTGGCGACTGAAATAACAGACCTGATAAGAGGAAGTGGAGGCGAAGGAGTGGGATGGCGCGACCACGCCCCCCGGAGGGAGAGGCAGGGCATGCTGAGGAGGAGGAGGAGGGGGAGGAGGAGGAGGAGGAGGGGCTTTCTAGCGCGACAGGCGCCGCCGCGCAGCCGCGCTCTATTCGAACTCCAACTGAAGGTATACCGCTGTACCGAAAATACTCGCCCAGCGCCCTTGGCCCGACCCCAAATGCTCCTCACACGACGTCGCCCTTCCATCTCGGGGGGGAAGGCTGGCTCCGAGTGTTTGCGAAAGCATCCCCCGAGAAACAATATACCCGAGCTGATCCCCCTGGGTGAAAGCTAAGGACGCCGACGCGACGAAAGTAGTATGTACGGCTGATGACAGTCGCCCCACGAGACCCTTATATGGGGGATAACCTTGAGGGGCTGCTGTGCGCGAGATCGCGCCTGGCACAAACGAACTCCGAAACTAAAGCATACACGCGTTTAAGTTACATCAAACATTGCCGATGGGGTCGGGCGGGTCAAGGGTGCCATGGGGGGGGCTAGCTGCTAGCAGAAGCCTGGACTGGTTGGCCGCGCCTGCCGTCCCCTTAGTCGCTGTCCGAGCTGTCGTCCGAGTCGGCGTTCACGATCTCGGAGTGCTCGGAGCGCTTGCTGGGCGGGGGGGCCGTCTTGTAGTACACCCACGGGGCGCGCCCCATGCTCGCGACGAAGAGTGGCGCAACGCTGAAGGCCGACCGCGCGTTGCCCGCCAAGTCCACCAGCACGTCCGGGGTGACGCGCTCCTGCCAGAAGGGGGCCACGCCGTCCTTATAGAAAGAGAGGTCCCACCCCATCAGCTGCATCGCTTCCAGACCTGCAGGCAATGGGGCAGGACTGCATTCGGAGTCTTGGGGGGGCGGGGGGAAATCACATGCTCTGAGAAACACCAACTGATTTTCAAATGCAGTCTTGGCCCATTGAGCCCAATACCGTGGATGCGCTTCATCATCGTGTCCCCGTTCGCGTCCATGATGCGGCCGACGAAGCACGAATGGCCTGTCATGCATGGCACCCACTCCTTCCAGGGGTTGGTCAGCTGGCCCCTCTTCTGCTTGGGAGGGTACTTGAAGGTGCGCTCCAGCGTGCGGTTGACATCGAAGAACTCCCAGCGGCCAGGCGTCGAACAAGGAAACAATGCGTTTCCGAAGAATGCCACTTCGGACTCACGCCTGTACCGAAAAGTCAACAGATCTTCGCTGAGCTCCGGCGGCCACTGAACATCATATGTGCTGAACGCCTCCTCGTGGATAAGCTTCCAATTCGGGTCGCCCTTGGAAGCCTTGGCCTGCGGAGCCGCCGAGCGGTTCAGGCTGTCGTCGTCGCCCGGCTTGAGCAACCCTGCCAACGTGTTGTTGTCAATCAAAAAATCCTCGGGCTTGCCGGCGCCGATCTTAATGGAGTTCAGGATCTCGAAGAAGTTGTTGGTGATCTCAGCTTTGTTGGACGGGGCAATGTCAAAGACTACGCAGAACCACCTCTTGCGCTCGGTGGCGCTCCCGTAGTCCCGAGCACTCACCACCAAGTCGATGCAAGAGAAGCCCTGGTCCTCGAAGGTCTTCTTCACGTGAGTGGCATCGGAGTCCCGCGGGAGGCCGTCCTCATCCTCTCCGCCCGCGGTGACCTTCTCGACGTTCTCCAGGAACGATATGTGCGGGCGGGTGCGCAAGATCCGCTGCTTAGCCGCCTCCCAAGTCACTCCAGTGCTACCTTTGAAGAGTCAGAGCCAGAGCCATCGGCGCCCAACCTCGGAGGTCACGCGCCAAGACTCAGCGGCAAAACCCTGAGGGCCAAATGTTTAAGCCCGAAAACGTTTCCGCTGAGTCCGCGTGCGTGGCCCGAAGCTGGCGTGCCAACGTCCCTGCCACAATCACCTTCGCCTCGCTGAAGATTGCCCCTCGTCGTTTTACGGGCGTTGTTCTCATCGGACAAATCTTTGCAAGAGAAACCAGCTCCAAACAGCTTAGTCCATGGTAGCATCATCGGGGAGTTGGTGATGTGGTCCCATGCCCTAGGTTCAGATAGATGGCGTATATCCGAGACAAGCATTTTGATACTGAATTGCGAACGGAGGAACGCCATCTTAGCCTCATCCGACTCTGCCGCTACCGCGTGGACGATCCTGGTGGAAGGGGTGCCGTACTCCTAGGGCGGCGGGCGTGCCAATCCCCCCTCCTGCCTCGTGCCCCCGCCCACCCCGTCCAGCGCTATGCCATGCGGCATGCTATGCTATGGTATGCTGGGCTACGCCGTGAGAACCTAGAGCGATGAGGGAGGGGGGAGGCCTGGTAAATAAGGGAGGAGCTATCTGGACTTAGTTTCCCCACGGGATCCTTGGCCCAGAACCTGGTGACCATGTCCAAGACGTGGTACCAGATGTCGGACCCCGAACATCCGCTGCCAATCGAGAGACTCTCGATACCAACGCCGGCCTCCTCGCTGAGGCCCTCCAGGACGGAACGCATGTTGGTCAGCCAATATAGCAGATGCTGCTTGGGAATGAGCGCGTGCATAAGGATCAGTGCCTTGTAGAGCATGCTGCCTTCCTGAGGAGAGGGGTGCCGCAACCTTGCCCGCCTCCGCAACAACTGGAAACATGCTGGAAGCATCTAGCTGGCGGTATCCCTCCTCAACCCACCTCCCTCCTCCGTCCTCCCTCCTTCTACACCCCTGCCCCCTCCTCAGCCCGCCAACTGTGCGCGTGCCCATCCCGCTCCTTGGAGCCCTTCTCCGGTTGGGTGCGATCGATCGTCGGGGTCTTGTCGGAGGCGTCACTCTTGGCGGCCCGCAAGATGCGACGCTTATGCCCGTCGCGCGGGAGCTCCTCGTCGCGGGGCTCCCCCCCGCCTGGCCCGCGGCCAGGGAACGCCTGATCTCTTTCCAGGGGGGGTGGAGGAGGGCCCGATCTCACAGCCTTGCTACAGCGCGGCCTCTGACGGGCAGCCGAGGCCAGTTTTCATCTAAAACATCTAACCTGGCGTGTAATTTCTTGTGGCCAGCACAGGGCCCCGATATTTCTTGTTTGGGGCTTAAAAATATTATGCTATAATTTTATGTTTTCTTGTCAGGACATGAGATATGCCGGACATATGCCGGGGGGGGTTCGTGTCCAAGGCCAGCGATCGAGACATCCTCCAAAGTCGCCCAAAGTGATATGCCGGAGATATGCCGGAGCATGAAAAACATAAAATTAACAAGAAACTGAAAACACAACGTCGGGCCCTCGGGATGCCTTGGGCCCCGAAGCACCCCGAATCGCTTCAACCCCGACGCCTGACTTGACAACAGGGCATCCAGAGCAGCTTCATCTTCATCTGCGTTGAATGGCAGCCAATCGGCGACGCAACCCTCGCCGCCGCAGAGGTCCTGGAAGAAATCGTGGTCCATCTGGGACGCCTCCCCTTGGATGCCCAAGTTCGGCCGTGCATGGTTTACCGAGGCCCCGTGGAGACGAATGGGGGTCGGGCGGGGGGCACCTCCAGACGACCATCACTGACGATTATTGACATCCACCGCCAAAGACCCACAGTGCATGGGCAGAGTTTATGCCGACTAGATCGGCCAAGCTGTCCAGTCGGCAACGCTGCGCAGAGTCTCGCGACGCAAGCAAGCAAGCAAGCAAGCAATCAAGCAAGCAAGCAACTCTGGCTCGACATCCGCCCTGTGATGATGATGGTGGCGATGGCAACGATTACGACGATGATGGCGATCATGGTTATCAGGGTCACGGTCGCGGGGAGGATGATTACGATGTTGCTGATGCTGGTGGTTGCATGAGAAGGATGATAATGACAACGGCGATGATGATGATGATGGTGGTGGTGGTGATGATAATGACGATGATGACGACGATGATGATGATGATTATGACGATCATGGACGCCAAAATGGCGACGTTGATGATGAGGAGGATGGCGCGGATGATGACGATGTTGGCTGCGGGCGGCGCTGATGACGACGATGGGGATCATGGCTGGAACGACGACGGTGATGACGGCGACGGCGACGGCGAATGCGACGATGACGACGCCGAGGGCGATGCCGCGACGGCGACGACGAGGAGGAAGGGGGCGAGAAGGGAACGAGGAGGGGGCCCCCCTCCCCGCCATGGGGGCGCCGGCGGTGCAAGTGATGCGCGCGGGCTGCTGCGGGCTGGGCCGGCAGGCGAGGTATCGTCGGCGCGCTGCCTGGACCTGGGCGGAAACCTGCGGGAGGAACGACCTCGGGGACCTGCAGCGGGAGGGGCGGGCCCGCGGCGAGGCGAAGGGGCGCCCGCGGCCTCTCCGGGAGCCCCCCCGAAGGAGGAGCAGATCCGCTGCACTTAAAGGCCCCTTAAGTGCAGCGGGCTGTCTTGGCCTCCGGGGACCCCCCCGAAGGAGGAGCAGATCCGCTGCACTTAAGGGCCCCTTAAGTGCAGCGGGCTGTCTTGGCCTCCGGGAGCCCCCCCCCCCCAAATTTTTCTCGGCCCTTTTCGGCCCCCGCCCCTCCCCTTGCGAAGCCTTGGCGGCTTTCCCCTTGTCCTCCTGGCGGGGGTCTGTGTCGGGGGGTGGCCCCCCCTACGCGCTTCGGGCGCGCGCGTGTAGCCCCGGCCGCGCGGACGGCTGCGTCCGACAGGACATCGAGCCGATAGCGATAGCGATAGCGATGGCCCGCGGTCTCGAGGGCCCCGCCGACAAGACCTGGGAAACGTCGGATCAGACAACTCGGGGCCCTCTGGAGGCGAGACACTGCCGATCTGCTCCAACAATCTTGGGCACGCAGCGGGCCCCCGCCGCCCCCCTCCCCCCTGCCGAACGCAAACCGCGGCGCCGCGCCCCTGGCAAAGCCGCTGAGGGAACAACTAAAACCAGCGCGACCCCCATGGATGGCCCAAACGACGCGGGATCTCCGGCGCCGACCCTGCCCGAGAGCCATCCCCCATCGCGAAGGCGCGGCGGCCCCTGGGGGGAAACGAAGACGGAGTAGCATTCAATGAGGAACGATTTGGGCAACAACAACTGCCTACCCCCCACCTCGTTTTAAGCGAACATATATTTCGGAAGGGATCGCCGCCAGCACCTCCAGGTCTCGAGGCCTGCCATCTCCCCCAGCGAGAGAGAGAGAGGAGGAGGGGGAGAGGAGGAGGATGGGGAGGAGGAGGGGGAGGAGCAAGGGAAGGAGGAGGAGGAGGCTTGCGGCTTGCGGCTGCCGAGGCGCAGGTCTGTGACTAGCGCCGAGCAGTGAAGAGGCCAGGTGAGGGGCCTGGCGAAGGGGGCGCTACGCTCCCCGAAGACTGGCCTCCAGCCACGGTGCGAGGGTCACTAACGGCGCACCGCCGGGCAGTCCCCACTCGCACCGCAGCAGGAGGCCAACTCTGATTTAATCAGAGTCCGAAGCAGGCACAGGCTGAGCCTGAGTCAAAACTGTGCTCGCGGCATTCGTTCGGGACTCGAACTGGATGTTCCATGATCATCTAGCTGGTCCGATCTAGTGATGCCGAGCTCCCTCCGCGAGCCGACGAAGCCGGCAGGCCGGGAGGGGGTTGCTTGACGTCCGAGGGCACTCCCGATAACATTTGATATCATGAAGGATATGTCACATGTCAAGCAACCCGACAACGATAAACGCATGCGCTGCAGTAGTGACAATGCTGACGCCCTGTGCAAACACAGCAATACTAAGCGCTGGCACGCCACGCACTCAATTGCGCGGCCGCCGCCAGACCTTCAGGCTGGCGTCTCGCCAGGCCTGAGCAACATCGCATCCAGCTCAGCCTCTGAAGTTCGGGGCGCAATGTCCCTCCACTTAGCCGCCTGGCCTATGTCAAATACATGCTGGCGGCCCCCATCGGGGTCATCGTGGGCAATCAAGCGGCCCATCAGGAGCCAACATTTGCATAGACGCCGGGCCTCGTCCTCTGATGCCGCATCACCCTGCGTAAAACTCACGCTCTTCTGGCATCTCAACTTGGCCCCTACATTCTTATGCTTAAGACAATTGGCCCCCCAGGCTATGACGAGCTTGGTGACCCCATCCGCCTGGAGTTCCCTGACGGGCGAGAGCGAAAACTCGCCCCAAGGGATGGCGACTGCCTCCCTCTGGGCCAGCGGGGCGTCCGCAGCAGGCGGGGGAGGTGGGGCATCTGGGGGAGGGAGCGGCGGCGCCTCAACAGCGGCTGGCAAAGCTTCGGGGGCCGGGGCAGGTGCAGCTGGCTCAGGCTCCTTACGCTTTTTTTTCAATGCCATTTTCACTTTGACAACCTTGGCTTTGGGTTTCGCCTTTCCCTTGGCCTTTGCCTTGGCCTTTGCCTTGGCGGCATTTTTAATCGCCTTGGTGACCGTGCCTACGATGGACTTCTCAACTGCAAGCATGGCGAGAGCCTCGTCGCCGCCACCGCCCTCGCCCCACTCCTCCTCCTCCGAGAAAGCGCCCCCTAAAGCTTTAGACGCAGCTGCCCGCAACTTCTTGACCACATCCTCAATAGCATCGGTCTCTGGTGCCCCTCCGCCGCCACCGCCGCCGCCGGCCCCCGCGACCTCGGGTGGCTTCGGGGGCTCTGGCCACACGCAGACGGTCTCGATACTCCCAAGCCCTTCTTTGCACAGGGGCTCTGGGACGGCCGCCTCTTCCACGGAGGCGGGCGGCGACATCTCCAACCTGGAAACCTCGACTCGCACGGCATCGCGCATCTCAAAATGC